AGGGGCGTCTGGCCAAAAGAGAGTGAAGGCCTCAGCACGGGAGTCATATATATATATATATAATTTAACTATGTAATAAAATATATCCAGGATACGATGATAATGATAGAACCATCATTACGCACTTTTCACGAAAGCTAGCACCAGCTAGCTGGAGTTGTTCTTGCTTTAGCAAGTGAGGGGCTGGAATCCTCTAGAGCGCCGCATCGCATGAAACTTCATATATAGGGGGCCCCCCCCCCGCGGGCTCAACCCCTGGGACGTCTCTGGGACGTGTGTATTTCCGCTGGCGGGGCTGACTGTTCCTGTGGCGGCAGGATTTGGGCCCCTTTCTCGGTCGGATATCCGCCGCTTCACCCCTGCCCTGCTAGCTTTCGTCACCAACCCTCGGCCTCAAGTTTGAGTGTGGTGTGTACAAAAGTTGTAAAGAGGCTTTGGCTTGTTGTTTCCAAGATGCTCGTTCATCAATGTAACAATGAACCCTTCTTGGCCAAATGTTAGACAAATGGTTTGCAGACACAAAACTTGGCTTGTTTCTTGCATCATGGAATTAGACTTTTTGCAGCTAGGCACAATGAAACAGCATGTATTTTGAGCTAAACACGATCGTTGTATCTGTTGTTCCTAGGCTTGTGGCTTGTGTCCTTTTCTTGCAGTTTGCATACTGGCTGCCCTTAGGGCCGCTGCGTCCACTCTGCTGGGTCTAGTGCAGTCCCGACTGGCAGAGCTGGGGTGGGCACATGCTTGTTGGTTTAAGCTGGCCAAATACCTGTAACTACAGTATCAAAACACAATGGTCATCCTAGGAAACTGTCGAATACACCATAATTGAATCACAGTACTATTGACTTCCATTCATGTAATCTTGCGAACCACCAGAGATAGACAGCATCAAACACCCCAGGGAAGCAAACACAAACAATATCCCTGGGAAGTAAAGGAGATAGCCTGCACTATCCAGGAAACTTTTCAATGTTCAACGTTTCTGCTTGCAGTTGTGGCCGTTCGAGTTTCTGCTGGAGCCCATGAGGTATCTCTAGAGACGTTTTTTGCACTATCATTTGTCACGCCTGTGCAAACTCTCTGCTCGTTTCGATCCAATCTTTGTCAAGCCGTGTTCCGCCTTTCCAAAGATTCCTGCCAGATCCTTCTCAACGCGGTCAGGTCATTCACAAAATGCCAAACTAAACGCAGTTCTGGTTTGTGCTTCCCAGTGCACAGACATGTTCTCGTGCTACACGAGGCCAAAAACGAGGGTCTTGTACCAGACTTCCACGTAAACCCAGCAACCTTTTTGGAATTCTTTGGAGACCGATTGGATGGAAAGCCATGGCCAGATCACCGCCAGAAAACTAGCCACTACGTGAAAGTTTGCTCACGCTACCGCCGAACCTCTGCATCTCAGTGTTGGTGAAACAGCTCATCATAATAACACATAAAGGTTTGCAAGGGCTTGTCGGAAAAACTATAAGTGTTACTACATATAATACGATATACGGAGGTTCTTTATTCTCAGGGATTGCAATGTACGGTTGATGCCAGTGACCTTAGTTCAAATCTGCACGGAAATTGTCCTTTGGAGGTTGGTCAAAAGAACAAGTGACTGCCAAGCGGAAGCCAAGGAATCACCCAATAGTGTAGGAAGTGGCTTTCTGAAGCATGACTCTGGCAGCAACCTCTTGTGTGACCCATTTGGTTGGATCTGCCTCGGGGCCTCGGTCCCATCCTTGCTCATCTTGCTTGCGGCCTCCTGTTCTTCTGCCTTTGTTGAAGGGAGGCCAGGCCTCTTTCTCAAGTGACTCCTCTGTTACATTGTTGCTCTTCGGGGGGAACCGCTTCGGGCTCCCTCAACTTCCTCTTCCTTTTCTTTCTCCATTCGGGGCCGCGCGCCCGTCTGGTGCCAGCATCCCTTCCCATTCTTCTGCCTTGCCAGCTGCCTTTGTAAGTTTGGCTTGTCCAAATCCAAAGAGGATGAGAGTCAGAGGAGCGGGCTAAAGAGCCCTTAAAGGGAATTCCCAAACGCCACCGAACAAAGGAAGCTCACAGTCCGAGGTGGATAATTTTTGTTCAGGAAGTTCATCCGTCATTCCCTGAGCTTGAGGTAATTTCTTGAACATTCTCAAGAGTTCAAAGGTTCATTGGTGCATCCCTTTTGATCCTGGGGAGAGTTATGGCAAAACATGAACGTTTTGTTTTGCAGCCAAGCACGATGCCATGCTGATGTAGGGTGTGCTGGGAGTCAGAAATGGCATGCGAAACTGCGAGACTGCGAAACACCGTGTCAAGTGAAGAAAAGCGTGCATGCTGCAACGAAACACACTGTAATGCTGATTATTGGAGTTGGTCAATTGGCAGACATAGCAAAGATTTTGCATCGAAACACACTTGCCATTCCAGCCATCAGAAATTGCTTGTGTTTTGGAGCGAACAACATGTAATTAAGCAAAGGATCTTGTAGCCACCAGCCAAGAGGCTGATTTCTTTTTCAGCGCTGGAAGAAAAACACATCACAGATGTACGGTTGACTTCATTTTTACTTGTGGCGCACAAGACAGCAGTTGGCTCCCTACCGCATAGTCTGCTCATGGTATAGTCAAACAGGGACCACTGTGCTGAGATGGTCTGAACTTGTGGCAGGAACCTGGCACTCCCAAGACCAAGAACAACCAGAGGAAACCCAAAGAAGCAAGGCGATCAAATGACTGTTAAGTTGGTGTTGTTTGTGTTCTTCGCCACTGCCACAAGGGATGTTGCCTCACAATTGCTTGGGCATGCGTTTGCTGTACATGCACATCCTGGTCCATGTTCTATGGTTTCTACCTGCCAGCAACATCGAAGCAAAAGTATCAAAACAGCCTGCCGCTCTTCTCCTTCTTATTGGGTCCATCCTTTGAGCTTCAAACCAGCATGGGCGGAAATATATAAGTTGCATGTTTGAATCTCAACTATCAGTCAACAATGGAAAGAAGGCTAGGCTACCCCTTTGTTCCAGATGTGTGCATCTGTGAACATGACTCAGTGGCTGATGGAAGCCATTCTCAGCTCCTGAAACGGTTGTTTGGACTGAAACACGTGGTTTGCATGAGGGGTGCCTTCAGCGCCAGCATTGGCAGTCCGGCCAGGTGGTGAGGATGGTGCAAACGACGCATTTGTCCCAACTATGGCACCGGATGCTTCGGTGAAAAAGTGCTTCTGCACACGATGCACACTCATACAAGGTAGGTGGCCAGTGGCGAGGTAGCTCCAATCAAGATTTTGGTCTGGCACTATTTTTACACTCTAATTATAGGATAAGCTGGTTCCATTGGTACGTTGTTTGAACATCACTCACATCTATTGTTGTTTTTCACATGAATCTGAATTATTGTGTCGAGATGCAACACGTGAACTCTCCGAAGCCAACGGAAATCCGTTGCCAGGGAATATCCACCACTACTCCAGTGGCTTGGGCCATCTCATTCCCACAGGATGGAGTACAGATGGCTCTGGCGGGGTGTTCAGGCTCCGGCGGCTCAAGAACCAACGGATCCAACGGAGTAGGTGAAGACGTGGAGAAGAGCACGCACCAGCAGGTCTATCCTCAGAGCTCCACGCACGGAGACTCCGTGGCGAAGGCCCGCTCTTCAGACAGCAATTCTTGCCACTAGCAACAAGGAGCAGTCAGGTCCAAGACCTCAAGTAATTATTTCTTGGATACCAACGTTTGGCCTGCCAACTAAGGCTGTTGCTGGAGCACTGCGGCCTTGAGGATACAACCAAGCGGGTGTAGAACTCGGTGTGGTTCGTCCAGCTTGCAGATTTGACATGAGTGCTGGACAGCTCCACATAGCTTTGAACTTACTTGCGACTGTCATAGTGATGTTGGTTTTCAGGTTCGTTTGTGGTGGCCGGAGCCTTGATTTGCCGCTCTAACAATTGACCAGTTCAAACAGCCGGTTCAAGCAGCATGTGATTCATGCAAAGTAGTTTTCTGCAACGCGTTAACAGGACATCTCTTGTGACGCTTTCAACCATTTCTGAAGTCCTTGGTCTTGTGTGGATCTACATCATCTTCATTTGGACATGTGTCTACATGTTTGTTTTGCTACTGTAGGTGTTTTCATCTGTGAGAACCCTCAGGTTTTACAGCCGCAAGGATGATGAGAAGAAACACAGCTTTCGGGAATTGCCTCGAGAGGTCTGACGGTCAGAGAGCTCCCGCATCATCGAGGGATTCCCACGATGAAGAAATGGTTTTCTGGAAGAAACGAGATTCAACTTCTTCACTGTATATTCACTGCCTTCTTCTAAAGTCATGCGACAGTGTCAGAGGATGCGGTTCACAAGAGTTGACACCACTTGCAGGTCCTCGATGGCGAAGAACTTCCTAATCATGTGCATGTGGTTTGAAGCTTGGACAGTGAGTCTTGTGTACACGAACTACTTGGTATGCTGTGATTGAAACTGCTCAACTGAAGACAGATCAAAGCATCAGATGGATGGCCAATCAGAGACAGTTCTTCTGTTGTGATAAACAATGACAGTTCGTTGCAGTCCACTTCTACATAACAGCATGACTTGAGACACATGTAAGCCTCTTTTTCATTCTCATCACTCCATTTGTTGAGGTATCCAAAGTGATTCCTGTTGACGGCCAAGGCAAAATCGCAAAAGGCGGACGTGGACCTGAACACATGTCAGAATCAAGTGTAAAAGGGTGGCTGAAAAGACTCCAAGCAAGTAGTGTTGGCTGTACTCGTAGCAGTCTTAGCCGCTTTGCTTCTGTACTTTGGAGCCACAGAGTGTGAGTGCAGGCAACGAAAAGACCAGTGGCGAGAAGCTGGCAGAGCAGATTTTTCAGGCAGAGGGTGTCCAAAAGGAAAGCAAGAAGTGATAGCTGAGGACCGATTCACTGCGGGATCTCAAGATGTGCTCATACTGTATTTGTGGAAGCATGTGGGAGCTCTTAGCTCCCAAATTGTGCTCGAACAATCTTGAACATGCATTTTAGCAACAAGATGCCTTTGGGTGCGTTCCAACCTTTTCAACAAACACAAATTGCCGTAGCGACTGCCAGGCTGCATCTGATCCATCCTTCAAGCCTCAGGTGGATGTCACCTGTGCAGAGGTGCCAAAGACGACGCTGATCGCACAGAAAAAGCCCCGAGAAGTAGAATGGAGTGATTTCGCTATCTTGAAGCCCTTAGACATCTTTAGAAGTGGAAAGGCATGACAGGTGACAATCGCGACCAGTGCCGTGCTGTTCAGGTGTCTGCTGGATGTGCTGGACAGCTTTCGCAGTTCCTTTGGGACTCAAACTTGCTGGGCCGGGTGGAAGGCTCTCAGGAGGCGGGCCCGGCTCCACGCTGCTTTGGCCGCGGGAAAAGATTGGGAACCTTTGTTGATTTTTTTGCTTACAATGGTTGCAGAGACAATGCTGCACTTACGTACTCACGAGCCCTTTCTGGCTTGCCCGTGACCCTGTCACAGACTTTTGCGATTGCTGCGGCAATTGGGTACAGTTACTGTCTTTTTTGTGATTGTACCACCCCATGCGCTCTTTTTTTAGCCCTGCTGATGCACACACAGAACTTTCTGAGCAACTGCCACCAGGTTATCGATATCATTGTGGCCCCCAACGTGTTCATCTCTTGGAGAAAGGCCAGGGTGTAGTGGCTTTGCACTTATGCACGATTCCGGTCTAGTCAAGAATAGACCTGAACGTTCTTGTCTTTATTGATCGTACTGGTAGTGGTTCAAGGCCTCTTCTGACAATCGAGCAGTAGCTCGCATGAAGCAGATTGACCTTGTTCAGAAGGATGGGCAAACCTGGCGCATTGCTAGACACAAGGTGACATTCTCTTTTGGGCAAGAGTTTGAAGAGTCGAGACGGCATTGAGTTCCGCGCCTGTTTGGCAGGTCCAGCCAGGTATTCAGCTTTCCGGCCGGTTAGGGGCTCAGAGGTACCATGGTTGCTCCAGCCGCTGGTTTGTTCGCATTTTTTTAAAGATCCATGTTGTTGTATTGGCAAACATATACTTCCGAGGGTGGCCTTAGTGGATCAAGGCCAAGTGAGCTTTGCAATAGGTGATTTTTTTGTCATGGACGTTGATATGGGCGGCGAAGCGCCTGCCGGGCTTCTGCCCTGGGTGGAAAAGTATCGGCCATCTTCCTTGGACCAACTTGTTGCCCATGAAGATATCATTCGGATGATCGAGCGAATGATGCTGAAGCAGACTTTGCCCCACATGCTCTTGCATGGACCACCTGGCACAGGCAAGACTTCCACAATCATTGCACTGGCCAAAACCATGTACAAGCAGCGCTACAAGTCCATGACATTGGAGATGAACGCATCAGACGCACGAGGCATTGACGTAGTCAGAGAGCAAATCAAGACCTTTGTCAGTGTGAAGCAACTTTTTGCTTCTGCGGAAGGACAGCCGAAGCTAGTGATTCTGGATGAGGCGGACAACATGACCAGCGCAGCCCAGTTTGCACTTCGCAGGATGATCGAACAGTATGCCTCAAACTGTCGTTTCATCCTGATTTGCAACTACAGCAGCAAGATCATCCCGGCGTTGCAGTCGAGGTGTACAAAGCTGCGGTTCGCTCCATTGAGCGAGGAGCAGATCTTGGGGAGACTCCATCACATTGCCAAGTGTGAAAAGATTCACTTGAGCGAAGATGGAGCGAAAGCAATAGTAGAAGTTGGTGGCGGAGATATGAGAAAAGTCATCAACATTTTCCAGACCACCTCGATGGGTCACCAGGGCAATGTGGATTCCAAGGCAGTGTATGCCTCGACAGGTGTCCCTGCACCTGAAGAAATCCAGCACTTCTTGAGAACATTGCTGAATGGCTCAGTTTCCTTCGCAGCAAGCTTGAAGTCATTGAAGTCCATGCTGAACTCCAAGGGTTATGCGCTGGACGATTTCTTGCAGCTCATGCACAAGCAGCTGATTGTTCAGGACACGCTGACACCTCGCCAGCGTCTTCAACTGACAGTAGCACTGTCGGACATTGACTGGCGGCTGAAGCAGGGCTGTGGCGACTCAATCCAGCTGGGCGCCATTATTGGCGTTTTCCAGGAAGCTAGAGCACTGGGAGGAGCGTAGGAAGTATGAGCCTCTTTGGGGTGAGCCAATCCTGGGTGAGTTCTGATTGGCAGTGAAGCAATGACAAAAAGTCGAGGCTTTGATAAGCTGTCTTGGTAGTGAAATTGGAACCTACACACGTAAGACCAGCTGTCTGAACTTGTTTATCCCAAGTTTATCCCTGCCCGGTTGCAGCCGGCTTGAAGGCCGCAAGATCTACATCTGCAGCCTCCGAGTCCCTCGCAGGGGCCTCAGCGCCGTATCATGGGCACCAAGGCACTCTAGATCCATGCAGGCTGCACACTCATGCACACTGCCCCAGCTGTGTTGGGTGTGCGATCCACGTGGCATCCATCCTTTTATGTCTTTCATATCCCAAAACGGACTGTCGTGGGCGGTTGCAATCAGGTGAAGAAATGAAGAGCTTTTTGGAAGCCTGTGAGGCCGGCGTAGCGACTATATATATATACCCTTTGCGAGGGATCCACTGGACCATTCTTAGCCAGCTCCTACCTTGTGGAACTCGCCTTGTGGAATCTACCTATGTCCTAACAAAGAAGGCTTTGCAAAATAAAGAACGGATTCATTCAAAGCTGAGAATTTGCTTCATTCCCGGGTGACCAGGAGCCGGTCTACACCACGGGAGATCAGAGTTTGGCAGAAGCAATGTGGATGGGCAAGGCCAGGCTGTTTGTCAATCTCTTCCAATGATCAAAGGAAGTTTAGGGTGCAAAACTTCCGTGTTACGGACTTTCAACAGCTGCTACTACTACTACTACTAATCAGCTTTAGCTCCAGTCAGCTCTAGCTTTAGTTGTCTCTAACTCCAGTTAGCTCTAGCTCTGGTTCGCTTTAGCTCCAGGTGGATCTCGCTCTAGTTAGCTCTAGCTCCACTCTTCAACATGCATTTTGGAAGGAAGTCTCGTACAAAATGCTTTTTTCAACAGCTCTAGCTCTAGTTAGGTCTAGTTCCAGTTAGCTCTTCAACATGCAGTGGAAGTGCAGATTTCATGGAAGGCGCAGCACTTGGTGAACCTCGAAGT